TAAACCCAGCTGGACCCAATATCGCCCAAGTACGAATGTCAGTATTTACTTTTCAAATGAAGAATTCTGGTGCTTTAACTATTCCTATTTAAAGTGATTCTGTCAAGATTTTTTTAAAAAAACTTGAAACTGGCATGTCCCTGCTAAAGAAACCGTTTATACCCATCAGTCCTGGTGCCTACACTTGCCGAACGTTTGACACTACCAGGAGTGTTGAATGTCTTGTCCCAGCTCCACCTTATGGTTTCATCTTCCGACTGTTATGTCACTACATGATACAGTATTGACATAGGGGCCGGGGTGGTGGAACCAAAAAACGTCCAGCCAGGGAGGCAGGATCAAACACTCATATGTGTCAAATGTAGAAGATCTTCAGCAAGCTTCCTTCATTAGTGTAGCAGAGATCGGCAGTGGAGGCAACAGGACAGTGAAGCATAAACATTTTACTGTGAAGGTGATAGTTTAAGGTTTTAAAATCCTCACAGGATCACATTAAAATTACGTTTAATGACTTGTAATGACTACAAAGAAACTGGATTAAACCGTGTTTTTATGTCTGCTTGGAGTTAGCTTTAAACATAACTGCTTCTATTTAATTTTTTTCTGGGGCTAGTTATCATAGATTGCCATCACTAAAGCAAGAGACATTAATAGTGAAAGGTTTTAATAATGATAGACCACGTTTGATTTTAATGGTGCAATTCAGTAATTAAAAAAATAAATCACCCGTGTAGCAAAAGCTTTAAAAGCACCCGCTTTGCAAATAGGTAGCTCTACGTCACACAAATTGTCCATCTCATCCTGCTTCTGGGATTTTGTCCTACTAAGGAACAACTTGGAATTTTCTCAGTCCTGGTTCTGCGAAAACTAACTACATCATGGAAGCCGAGTTTTTTTTTTCCCATGTTCTACTCTGTTAGATTGTCCTAGAGTATAAAGTGCAAGGTCCTCTGCTTTGGACATTCAGAACACCAACTCTACACCCACACACAAGCCATAGCAAACTTCAATCATGGCACTTCCACTGTATGGATCCCATGTGAAAGCCCCAGGATTCGTGTGTGAAACTACCCTACCCAGCACACTTCTGAGTCAGTACCTGGTTCAGATGTGCAGTAGTCATTTAAAGTACACCTAAACAAACTACAGTCTTGATCTCTTTTAACACTCTCATGAGTCTTTTCAGGCATATTCACCATCATAGAAATGGCAAAGTAAGAAGAGGCAAAGCAGCATTACTGAACGATCACTAAACAATCAGATTAGAGCACTTCTTTCCTGTCTGGGTGCTCAGAAGACATTTCTAGAACCAATGTTACCTTAATAGTTGCTCGATTAGGAACATTCAGCTAAGCCAACCAAACTCGCTGCCCTAAAGTGAAATAACCTGGTGTACTTGCTGCAGCCCAAAGACGATCGTTTGCCTGTTTCTGCAGCCAAATGGACACTTGAATCATTTTCGCTACAACTCTTTTTTTTCCCCCCAGCACAAAAAAGGTCTATTGGTCACCAAGTTCCTGAGACTTCTTATTTCTGTTTAGTATACATTCATATGTACATAAAAAAAATATTGGGTGCCAAAATTAAAAAAAAAACCCCAGAGAAATAGTATATAAACATGTGATCAAGTGGCAAGATTTAAGTTACAACTTAATGCACAGGTCCCAGAAAGCCACATTATTAAACCTCGGTGTTAATTAGGTGATGGGTTTTGAAATGCATTAGGCATATTTTTGAAAGATGGCTGAACAACCTAACGAAAAATATAGCATTCTATAATGCAACACTAAAAAAGGGTTATGGACACGTTTGACCTACAAGTCTCATAACAGTGCCACATTTTTGCATTAACGAAGCTTCTAAAAAAAAAAAGCCATTATGGAAAATAGTTCTCAACTCCCAGTGATGGTCTGTTAAAGTTTATCTAAACCCAAATACAAAAATGTAATATACTGCAGTTGACGAGTCTGCAGATGTAGTGCCTGCATTAGTTTCCATTTTTCCAGGCTTTTTTTCACTTCATTTTCACCTAGTGATCCTGCCACTAACATACGTCCTGTCCTAGAGTAACAATACTCAAAAGGACCACACTACTATGATTTAACATCACTGCTTTCACATATATTTTCTATCAAATATCACATTATCTGTAAATTTCAGTTCATGTGCTAACAGTCCAACAAAGTGAAACGAGTGCAGTCCATAAAACAAAGTGCAACGGTGCAATACCAATTTGATGGACCAGGGATCGTCCTGTGCTCCCCTCCTTTGTTCCCCTACTCATCAACTGGTTTGTTGCACTTTGCTTTATGGACTGCACTCGTTTCACTTTGTTGGACTATTAAGCATATGAACTGAAATTTACAGATAATGTGAGATTTGATAGGAAATATATGTGAAAGAGCAGCGCTGTTAAATCATAGTAGTGTGGTATTTGAAGGTTTTGTCCTTTTCAGACAGCAGCAGCTCTAGAAATTCTGGTTATTCACATAATTTATTTATATTGTAATCATTTTTATTTATATTATTGGTGTGATGTCACTTGGTTTGGTATTGATTTTTAACATAGCGCAGGGATATTACATATAATTAAACGCTCAAAAAGGAGCAGTTTTGTCACCCTAGGCTGCCCTTCTCATTTCATTACATAAGGAGGAGGGGTTGTGTTGTTCGCAGAAGGTAGCATGGAAAGCTGATACCATTTCAGATTTCAATGCAGTATACAGAAAGTACAAGCACACTGGATTTGTATCAGGATCAAAAGGTATTTTTCTGTACTGGAAGAAAATGTACTTCACATTAAAATAAAGCAGCCACCACATCACTGATAAGCAGCAAAGTTATTAAAATTTAATTTGGGGGGCTTAGATATACTTTAAGGGTGAACATGTTGTCAGTGCATGGTGGAGATAAATCCTAACAATGTGGAGGAGGGCCATATGTCAATGGAGCATAAATACTGACTGCAGTTTTTACTTAGCTTGGCCTATATGGCAGGATGAAAATCCTACACAGTTACCACAATAACAGACTACTGCTGTCCTTCTAAGTTGCTGTGAGTGCTATGGAACATTCCTAAGCTTGCCCAGGAGGGCCTGAAAGATGTGATTAGAATATATGGTTACGGGCTCTTGTACATGGCCATATTTTGCAGCATACGAGCGTACAGAGTAAAGTATGGCTCTACTTGTGGTGGCTGGGAGCCACAGTTGCAGCGTATTTTTGCCATAAGATTGCAGTACAGAAAGCGTTGTATGCGCTATGCACGCGTGAGGGCATATTTTTTAAATGTAAAATTTATAGGCATGAATGGCATTTTCTGCACCATATTCCTAAGGAAAAAAAAACAGGCCACAACTACAGACATTTTTTACAATGTATACCCATATGCTGGAATGTTTGGCCACGTGCAGGTGTTCTTACTCCCAAACTGAGCAGAAAATATGGCACAACTTTATCAACTTCTAGCCCGTCTAACCCATGTGACTAAGTCTCACTGAAGCATAACATGGGGATAATTGATAACACTTTAAATAGTATTGAGGAAAAAAACTTTGTTTTGGGGTAGATTAATGACCTCTGAGTGATCATAGTACACAGCTGCAAGGACCCTAAAATAAAAGGTTCTAAGACAACATAGTAGGCTGCAGTGCTGGACAAACACAGGAACAAGCCTCTGACAATGAATTTATTTTTTAATGCTGTGGTTGTGCAGAAGCAGGACATTCCTCAAGCCAAACACTGCTTTGCTATACTGAATAGATTTTAAAAGTATTTCTTGCATTAAACAAATCATTACAGGAGATGCTGAGTGAAAGCAAACAGGCCTCTTCTAAGACCCACACCACACTAGTGACAAAAAATGCCAATATAACCATACATTTGTCCAATCCAGAATGTTTACCGGGGTCACAGCAAAGAAAATGGGCATCAAACAACTGCTACAACAAAATCAAGAAATCCATAGTAGCCAATCAGTTGTCAGTTGACTGTAGTGAGATCAGAGAAAGATGATTGTGTTTGGTTGCGATGTTGCTTATTGTACGTCTCACATTTTAAAGAAACACAGCCCCCATTCAGGGCAATTTGTTTGCAAAGGGCTCCCCCCAACCCACTAGTACTTACCTTGCCAGTGCTCCCCTGCTGCTCCATTCTCTGCTGCAGCTGGCTAAAATACTCACTGCTTCTGGGTATGGAAAAGCATGTAACCTCCTCCAATGTCAGGTTCTAATGTCTACCAACCAATAGCTAAACTCAAGCACTGTCACATGACAGTGGGAGTAATGTCACTTCTCCCTCTAGTTCCATTTTAGTTCCAACTGTGATGGACAAAGGAGCGCGGTGGGGGAGTGCTGGCAAAGAGGGAGCATCTGTGGGTCTGGGCACCCCTTTGCAAAAACAATGCCAGTGTCTCTTTAATAGTTCTATTCAATATATTCAACAATTCCAATGCCTTTAAAACAATACACTGAACCAAGAACACATTGTTTTTGCTTGCTAAATACAACCTATTACACAGATAAATTTAATGCCGACATACTTATTTCAGACAATTTTTGGCAAGAAACAGATCATATGATTTGCTTTGTACTTGCTTCAACTAGCCTAGTGTTTAAAGAACTGGAAATAAGTGCAATTAGGATACAGGAAACATATCAGACCTATTAGCATCAAACATTTACAGCATTTAGGTCTTAAAGGTATGGCACATTTTAATGAGCAAGGACAAAAATCTACATCGGAAAAAAAATAATGTTCAAGTAAAATTGCCTCAATATGGTACAAGAGCTGGTAGACTGTATAAGATTCAGAAAAAAAGTCAACAATCATTTGCATGACACAGACTTTATGCATTGGTGAGGACTAGCCTTCCTGCAAGAGATCACAATCACTCAAAATATTATACCAAAAGCCACACAGATAACATAGGCCATTCATACAAAACAACACAAAATAAAAAAGAAAAACAAATAAATTAAAAAGAAAAAAAAAAAAAAAAATCAGACAATATAAGCTCCATCCTCATCTCTACCAAAGCTGGATTCTGGAGATCGTGAAGATCCAGAGCTGGACTTTTGTAAGTAGTTTCTGACATGGACGGGTTGGTTGGACTCCATTCCTAAAAGAGAACTGTTAGTCCTGATTTGGGGCATTGAAGACTGAAGGGCTGGTGAGGCTTTCTTGTTGCTGGTCATGACCTCTAGATGTCCTGCTGGGTCAATGATGGCATTTATGACTGTAGGGTGTGAAAAATACAGATATTAGGAACTTGTAAATTAACTTTAAAAGGCAACATAAGCTAGCTAAATAGGCTGATTTGGAAGGAAGTGAAATTGATTTGTGCAAAGCGAAGTAATCTACAGGAACCAGATTAATCTTTCTACCCATCTGATTGGTGACTACAAATGAAGAAACATGGTGCTATCTTGTTAAAGAAACCCTGTGAGCATTTGCACATATGATGAAAGGATTCACAAACAGATCTTAAAGTGGTAGTGAACCATTGCATACTGCATACCCACTGAAGTGACCAGCCTTAGATGATACACAGATCAATCAAATCCTCTTACATAAGTTGTACATGCTTATCTTCAACCCTTTCTTCTCTGCAGCTGTTCAAAGTGCACCATTTACCAGGCATCTCTGAGCAGAAGGCAGGTGTGGGGATCTGATATCACACACTGCACAGCACACAAAGGAGAGCTGAGTGTAATCGGACACTTGAGTGGAGGGAATGGACACACCCCCTGTACACAATCTTATAGAGAAAAATGCACAGCTGAGGCTGTCAATCACCCGCTGTGTGCTGGAAGGGGGGGGGGCTATCTCCTGGGACTGTTGGATGTTGTGTCAGAAAAAATTATCAGTGACTCCTACAGATAGCAGACGGAGGAAGGAACAGCTAGTAATCACACTAGCTGCTTTGGGCAGAGGCAAGTATATACAATAGAAGGAAATGCTTTATTCATTTTTCATTGTAGAGGTTTACAACCACTTTAAGTGAAAAAAATGTCAAAGTCATTCATGGACACGTAGATTTAGGCAGCTAGTGTTATATACAGCTTCATAAAAAAAAATGTGCTTGACCCCACCCCCTCCAATTTGCCAGACTCCCTACTAATCCTTATATGTAACAGTTGGCTTCATTAACATATAGACCAATAAAGTTTTGCAATGTGAATGGTGGCGTGAAAAAGATTGACTTACAGGACAAGTGGAAATTTAGCTATTACTACCAGTAACCCCTGCCTATGCAGTTTTTTAGTCAAATGCTCAGTTGCCGTCGTCCAAGATTGTAATGATTACTTTTAATTTTGTCAAGACATTTAGGGCTTATTTAAAGTAGATTTGAAAGAATACTGGAAATCCCTAGAGTGTTATAGACCCCTCTGATTGAAGAGGGTTCCTGCTGGTGATATCTGCTGCTGCAACATGAACATAAAGCACACTTCCTGCTCATGGCTAAACTATCTTTTTAGCTCATTGGTGTAGTCCACCAAGCCCATTACAAATCAGCAGGATGGGGCATTCAGTCATTGCCTTCTAAAAGACTATGAAAGATGGTGAACCATCCACGACACGGGAGGGACTTTCTCAGTTACTAACCCAAATTATGTGATACTGGAAACAAAAGTGGAGTACCTACCTTCTAGCTGCTTTTGGACTCTTCTCAACTCTTTCAAAATAGAGCTTATCTCCTTTAGAGAAAATAAAAGAAAATAAAAGGAGGATAACCATTTCAGCAATGTACTCCAACTGTATTTACAGCCAAGTATGAAAAGTGTTTTTTAGTACAGTGCAGAGAGCTGAAATTATACAGTATTAATCATTGCTAAAGCCCAATTGTAGCCTAAACTTTTACAAGTCAAGGAGCTCTGTTGCAACTGTAAATAAATGTAAAAGTAAAAACAAAATAAATTAAAATCAAATAGATTAAAAAAGCAAAAAAAAACCCAAACCCATAAATAAAAAAAAGTCCCTGCTCATGCCTTTACGCACATATGTAAAAACATGCGCACCTAGGATGCACATCCATACGTAAACATCAGTTGTGTAACATATATTTTGTATTACCACACAAGCCAAAACAAGAGGAATAATATTGGAGCCAATGTTTATGGTCAACTCATGAGCTGAAAAAAATCTGAAAGTTTCACCTATGGACAATATTGGGTATCATAGTTTGTTACTGTTTTGCGGCTGCACGCAATTTTTACATCTGACGTGTGTGGTATTTATTCATTTGTCATCTCATTGTGACAGAACGCCTGGCACCCAGCTTGTGCCTTCTATCAGAGAGCCGCTTTCTCGCCACTGGGACACAGGACCAAGGCATTATAGCTGGGCATTGCACCCAAGACTAGGCGACACTAGCTTGATGCAAACTGGAACTACTTTATTGAACAGAAACACAGATTTTTAATACATTCAGAAATAGGGGCAGTACCCACAAATATTACACATTGGAATAAACATTCCACACTGATTAGGTAAGAGCTTGATCACCTCATCCTAAACAAAAGCAAAAGGTAAACAGTACAGCCAACAGTGATCCAATTAACAGTCAGCTAATCAGCATCCAAGCACCCAGACAATGCTTTGATTAATCAGGGAGCACACAGCAGACAGAGCAGCAACAATTCCACCCCTGAACACACAAAGTCCATTAACCTCCCTGGCGGTATGATTATTTCAGATTTTTGGTGCTGAAAGCGGTACCATTATTTTGCATGGAAATATGTAGTTTTTTTTTATTGTCGGCTGTAATTTTTAGGAATAACTCACTGAAATCTGTCAGAACAAGAGTCTATTAAACATCCCGGGTAGGATAAAATTTGAAACACGAAATCATAAATTATAATTTAATAAATAATCATAAAAAATAATATAATAATAAATTTAATTCAATAATATAATCAAACCAAAAACACTGAAATTTGAAATAGAGCGCCAAGTTCGTACATCACTGAGCAAAGTCGCAGAATCGTTTTCAGTGTCTGATGATGAATTTCCCCACAAATCATTATTACTCAATTCTGCAAGTGGTTCTAATTTACTATTGCTGTTCTCTAGCTGGTCTAAAACCGCTTTTGACATAAAGGGACGCTTTTTGGACACCATGGACATTTCTAAGTTTCCAGGCAGAAAGAACAGTCAAAATGCAGGCAGGGCACAGGACAAAGCAGTAGGGACAAAATGTATGTGAAATGCTTTGAAACAGCAATGTTTTACTATGTAATAATCGTTTTTAAAAAAAGTCATTTTTAAAAAATTTTCAAATTTGCCGCCGGCGCCCGTACGTCCCGACGTCACAGGCAGAACACGGAAGCTGGATGCCAGCATCGGCTGGAGGAGATGGCCGGTGACGCTGCAGGGGACACATCGCGGGAGCGAAGGACAAGGTAAGTGCTGCAGGGACCCCCAGAGCAACGCTGCATGGTAAGCTCGAGTGTAGCTCGGGGTTACCGCTTTTGGTACTGAAACTCTACCCCGAGCTACACTCGGGAATACCACTAGGGAGGTTAAACATGCTGTCTATCAGGTGTTTGCTTTCACTTGTGTAATCTGTCCATCATAAGATAAAACTCATACAATATTTTAACAGTCCGAACAGTGGAATTAATCTATGTTCATAGATTTCTTGAGGGAGATTGTTGATAAATATTTCTGTCCCAAAAAGAGGAGCTTCGCCAACCCAGTCCGCATGAGGGTCAACATATTTCCTCTGACTGGTAACCTGTACAAGATTATTATTACATCTTTCCATCCACTTCAAAAGGGAAGATTTATTGTCTGTATGCAGAGAATTAATTTGAGCCTCGCTCTCAGAGTTCATCACGTTGTTGTCCATCATTAGAGAGTGATCTGCTCTCTCCATGAGCCTTAATCAGTGGGCAGAAGGCTAGCCCCTTGTCCCCTCCAAAAGCCCCTGTCCCAGGTTGAGTCTGTCACACTTATGATTTAGATTTATAAATAAATCAGGATTTTATTGTGCTTGTGTGCACTAAAATTAGATTTGGTGTATTTTTTTTTTCATAAAACTATATACTCAGCGGCCTCTTTGAGTACACCTGTTCAATTACTTGGTAACACAAATTGCTAATCAGCCAATCACATGGCAGCAACTCAATACATTGAGGCATCTGGATTTGGTGAAGATGACTTGCTGAAGTTCAAACTGAGCATCAGAATGGGGAAGAAAGGGGATTTAAGTTTGAATGTGGCATGGTTGTTGGTGCCAGACGGACTGGTCTGAGTATTTCAAAAACTGCTGACCTACTGTGATTTTCATTCACAACCATCTCTAGGGTTTACAGAGAATGGTCCAAAAAAGAGAAAATATCCAGTGAGCAGCAGTTATGTGGATGAAAATGCCTTGTTGATGTCAGAGGAGAATGGGCAGACTGGCTTGAGATGATAGAAAGGCAACAGTAATGCACATAACCACTTGTTACAACCAAGGTATGAATACCATCTCTGAACGCACAACACATCGAACCTTGAAGCAGACCACACCAGGTGCCACTCCTGTCAGCTAAGAACAGGAAACTGAGGCTACAATTCACACAGGCTTACCAAAATTAAACAATAGAAGATTGGAAAAACGTTGCCTGGTCTGATGAGTCTCGATTTCAGCTGCGACATTCAAATGGTTGGGTCAAAATTTGGCATAAACAACATGAAAGCATGGATCCATCCTGCCTTGTATCAACAATTCAGGCTGGTGATAGTGGGGTAATTGTGTGGGGGATATTTTCTTGACACAATTGAGCATTGTTTAAATGCCATGGCCTACCCAAGTATTGGTGCTGACCATGTCCATCCCTTCATAACTACAGTGTACCAATCTTCTGATGGCTACTTCCAGCAGGATAATGCACCATGTCACAAACCTCAGATCATCTCATACTGGTTTCTTGAACATGACAATGAGTTCACTGTACTCCAATGGCCTCCACAGTCATCAGATCTCAAATCAATAAAGTACTTTTAGGATGTGGCAGATGTGTTTGCATCATGGATGTGCAACTGACAAATCTGCAGCAACTGTGTGATGCTATCATGTCAATATGGACCAAAATCTATGAGGAATGCTTCCAACACCTTGTTGAATCTAAGCCATGAAGAATTAATGCAGTTCTGAAGGCAAAAGGGGGTCCAACCCGGTACTAGCAAGATGTACCTAATAAAGTGGCCAGTGAGTGTAGGCTTGATACACAGTTGTCCAAATAAAATGCTAAATAAAATTTTGCAACTACCATCATTTTATTCTACATCATTTTATAGCTCTTGAAAATTATAGAATATTTGAGGGGTTTTGAGTAAATTTCAGGCCTAATATGTACAATTTTTCATGTGTGTGAAAAATGAAAAAAAAACAAAGCTCTGGCTAAAAATGGTTCAAGGATAAGCCACATAAACACTACAATATGCGCTCTCTAGTAAATCTTTCATTAAAATACTTAGTTGGTGACAACAGACTGTACATGGTATAAAGTTTCCTAATTGCATAGTAATGTTGTCACCTTTCGCCTTTTCACACACCCTCTGTTGGAGAGGGCCTACATGTTGGCTTTATTTGCCTCCCTTCCTACTGATGGGCCCAATACTTTTTGTATTACCAGTTTGCCACCCTTTGGATGCTTGGGCCTACCCATATGCCAGATTTGCTTGGTAATATTGTTTTTGCTTATTTTATGTATGCACCATGTGGGCGGTGCCTGCCTCTTCCTTGTGGATATCAGCACTACTACTGTGTTGTTTATAGCTATATTTCTGTTGCATAGTTATTTTCTTACATAAAGATTACATGAAAAAAAAAAAAAACTGGAGAGCTCACTTAGGCATACAACGTATATATTGGTGATGGTGATGGGGTCCTACCACAAAACCAGACAGCATTGAAGTGTGGGGTGAAAATGTCTCTTCCTATCCAAAACAAAAAACCCAGTCCTTGGTGGAATTGCTCTTCAAAGTTTGGTTTGCAAACTGAACAGGTGACAAATTGCAGTTAATAACAGTATGATTTTTATGAAATTTACCTTGTTAGATGTTTTGAGGATTGGCACTTCATTTTCAGCATTAATTTTCGCCTCAATATCTTCCCAGCTTTTCTCTTTGTTCTTAAATAAAATTCTGTCGTAGAAAACAAAGGTACATTAATTCCTAAAACAAATTCAATAAACCAGACCGGTTTAAAGCAAGAACCTTAAAATGTAACCTACTTCATTTTTTCAGTAAGTATCTCGGTGTTTGCGCATATTGTATGTGACAGCTGCGATACAGGATTCAGCATGAGGTTGTCAAATATTACCTAAAGAAGAACAATACATAGTCATTTGTCATATAAATACAAAATGCTGATTGAACATGTACAAGCGATTCTACATAAAGCATAAATCCATCTTACTGTTAAATATATATATTTTCATTTTGTGACAAGATTCCACACACAATTTTTTTTTTCTTTGAAATAAAATATAATACAGTACAAATAAAGAAGCCCGAGTTACCAGTACAAGCTTTCATTGTGCTTTACAACAGTAAGCGGTAACCCATGCACCACAGCAGGGTTCAATGTGGCACCATTCATTTAGGGATGAATGAATTATGCTGAATTTCAATCTAAGGTAACAACTCAACACAGCTGCACTGTAGTGCAGTCAAAATGCAAAAGATGTCATCCGTCTCTGAGCTGTGGTGCGATGGGTAAAAAAAAGAAAGGTTGTACACTTTTAGTGTGTTGGGAAGGATGTTAAATGTAAATGTGTTACCACAATGTTCTTGCCCTAAAGCCAAAACTTTTTTTTTTTTTTTACATTTTGTGTAGATGTTGAGAGCTCAGTCAGTGCGCTCCATACAGTGTGTAGACCTAAAGTTACATTAAAAGAGATGGAGTCGCAAAACATCACCAGCACACCTTGGTCAGCAAAAGGAAACATTTTACATTTTGGGACCCCAAAGTCAACAGTGGTCCCATTGAGGCCTCAAAATGTTTCATTAAATCTTTGGGACAATAAACATTTTCCCTTTTGCTGACCAAGGTGTGCTGCTAAGACCATGCACTATATCACCCCAAAGAGGACACCTATTACAGCAGGAACTGTCCAAAAGTGGTTTTCCTCTCACTACCTGTTGTGTCTTCAAAACAGAAAGTGAAGGTAAATCTCCCCAATGGGAAGACAGGTGAAAAAGACAGGTGTTTAAATATCCCCAATTATTTCATTAAAAATATTTTGGGTTTAGATCCACTTTAAGGTTAAAGAGCTTTGCAACACTGCTAATAAAACATTTTTTTAACTAATAGGCCAGTCAACCCATAGAAAGCAAATTGTTATGTTTCAGAAAAATTAGCATGATACTGTAGTTTACCAGATGAAAACAAGTGAACTATGAAGATGGAAAGTAGGAGAAAAAAAAAAAAAAATCACCCTTGGTTTGGTATTCCCTGATCAAAATTAGAGAAAAAAAAAAAAGCATTGAGTAGTCTCTTTCACAGATAAGGTACAGTAGGTGAGTGTTGTCACCCTAGGATTGGAAGTGTGCTACTCAATTACTCAATAGATCACCATATGTAAAAGCCTCTAAAAGAAAATGAATGCTGCCGATAGAACCAGTAAGCTTTTTTGGACTCAAATACATTTTTACAGTACAATAAAGTATAACTAAAAGCAAAACTTTTTTTTTGGTATTGGCGATAGTGGAGAGGGGTCAGAACACTTGAGAGTTTTTTTTATTGCTCTCTGTGCTCCCATTATGGAGATTAACCCTCTATATTTGCCACATTTACTGTTATCAAAGAGAGTCAAATTGGAAGAAAAATCCCAAATTATGAGCGGTCACTAGAAAAGGAATAGAGGGTACATTTTCCAATGGGAACAGTAGTACTGGTGACAGCCAGGGAGTCCCTCACTTTGGAGCGACTCCCACGTCCTGCCTTCACAGAATGTAAAGGGAAATCTCACCAAATGGGACACGGATAGCAAACCCCCCCCCCCCCGAAACAAACACTGACAAGAGTTATAACTGTATCCAAATAAACAATTTTCATTTAGTTCTGCTTTAAATATAAACCTATTGTATTTTTCGTTTACATTTTAGTCATGTGATAATAAGGTTGCACAGAGCATTTTCCGCTATTTGCATCTAACAATGCAATATTTTTATGACAAACACCAATGCAGGCATACACAAAGCCAATGTGTTATATGCTCACCTCCTCTCTGTTTCTTGCTCTCCTTTTTAAAGGATCATCCTCTCGACTGTCATTCATGTTCTGATCAAATTCTATTCCTGTGGAGCCTGGTGGGACTTTTTGATAATTTAGACCTGCCTCTGGGATATGATGGACCAACTTTAAAACAAAAAGGAAGAATATATGTTTATACACACTTTTCATAACTTACCACAATTATGTATTAGAGACTGTTAAAGTGTGCTTTTTTTACTGCATTTACATTGGGCTCAGATGCCCTTCCCCTATCTTTGGAAAGTTTGATGAGCAAAGTGCTGACTTTCCACTGGAATGTAGACTGCTGCTCAAATGTATGGGAGGACTCAGCCCAACAGTATACATTTTTTTTAGATGTTATGTAGTATCAAACAGCAGTACAGAAAAGATAAGTGTATGGCTTCAAAAGTTGTTTGGGATGGGCATTGGGGGACAAACGATTTAGGTGCACTTACACTTTAAAATGTAAACTAGAAAATGTACTTTAGTCACATCAAAGAAAGAGGATTTCTGGCTGACTACTTTGTACACCAATCTTTAACCATTCCCTCATAGAAATAACACAAAGTGCAACTCTGTTCTTCAATCAACTTTCAACAAAAACCAGAGCAATTCCAGCGTCATCCTAAAAATTGCCAACAGATAAATATGATATCTACTGGAATTCTATGAAAGCATTATACATACTTCTAGTTAATAAGACTATCATTTTCCTAATCAGAGGGATAAGAACAATGGAAGAAAAAGAATGAAAAGTAATGGCTAGATTTTAAATATATAGTGTATTACTAAAGAAAAAAAAAAAAGTATAAATACATATCAAAATTCGTGTAAAGATATTTTCAAAGTAAACTTGCAATCCATTCAGAATATAGGCTACTAAAAGTGTTGCGTAAGAGATGTTATAACAAGGTGCCTACCATCGCCTCCCTTATCCAGAAAATACTCTTCAAAGCCTTGAGTCTGCTCTTAGTTTGCCAGTAAAGCCATGACTCTGGGCCTATGTTCTACTCACATGTGCTAAGCCCGACTTACCAATATTCTTGTTCAATACGAGAGCCCTTATTGAGTAACAAGGTGCTCAGTAGACAGGGGGCTAGTAGGTAGGTGGGCTTCATGCCATGGAGGCACTTAGGCCTTAAGCCCAGGTGTCACTAACAAAAGTAATCTTATATGAGGCACTGAAGACACGCTTTAGAGCTTTGACTTTATGTTTGTCACAGAGGCTTGGACTTTAGGCCTGAGAGACTTCCTGGTACAATGTCCACCAACTAGCCAGCCCCCTGTCTATAGATAGCACCTTTCAAGCCAATAAGAGGACTCTCACTGTGCTAAGGCCTGCCTGGTGGGCAGGCCTTAGCACAGAAGGGCAGAACACAGGTCCAAAGTTAAAGATTCATGAAAGCAACTAAAAGAAATCCTAAACAGGACTCTAAAGAAATGGTTTGGGACAAGGGAGGGAACTGGAGGAACATTATGATTCCTTCTTTTGCACTTTTATTTTTCTTTAAGATATTCTCAATGGATTAAAGGGTTTATTATAAAGTGACCCATGCCATTCCGCTTTCTATCCCAGAACCTGCTCATAGCAGCTATTGTAAGCTCTTCATGGTTTCCTCGCTCACGTCGAAGCTTTCTACCAATCTCTAGATAGCAGTCATAAAGACTCTGTGTAAAAATCAAAATGTATTTAAAGTTTTGTATAGAGCAGGAGAGGTTAGAACCTCTTCATAATTTTTGTGATCTGTTTCATCACTAGACAGATTTGGTCTCCATATATGACCACTATTACCAGGACTGAAATTGAGGGAAAATCCAAAGTTTTGAGTGGAGACCATAAAAGGAGAAAACTGAAGGAAACATTTTCCTATGGGGACAGCTGTCTGAGATGGGGATTCCCTTGTTTTGATCAGGTATCCTCTTACTCTCTGTTGTGAAATGGCATTAGTGCAATTGGCGGTGATGACACAGTACCACATACAGTGCTCAGCATAAACGAGTACACCCCAACAGATTTGTCAGAAAACGTTTACTTTCCTTTTAGAACCAACATTTTGTTTTGGGACACTATACTACAAAATACTCCCACAAATGCGGCCCATTGATTGCAAACAGGATTTGTTCATTTGCACACACAAAAAAGTATTTTTCCTAACAAATTCATTTCAGACCGTGTTGCAAAAATGAATACACCCCAATGAAAGTCTTCGGATTAAAGCAAAATTTTAGACAAAATCCTAATTAACAAGAATTCAACTATAGGTGAGTCTAATTATTCATTAAACAAGTGTCCAGCAGACAGTTGATTATAAAAAGGCGTTACTGCATGGGTGTCATCTACAAAGGAAGCCTCTCCTAAAGCCCATGCACAAAAAAGGCCACCTAGAATTTGCCAGGGCGCATGCTGAAAAAGAAGAAGATTATTGGGACTCTGTACTCTGCAGTGATGAGACCAAGATAAATGTTTTTGGAACTGATGGCTTCAAAACTGTATGGCGTTGCAAAAGTGAGGAGTACACAGAAAAATGCACGATGCCTACAGTAAAACATGGTAGTGGCTGTGTCCTTCTGTGGGGCTGCATGAGTGTTGCAGGTGTCAGGGAGCTGAATTTCATTGATGGTATCATGAATTTGGAAAAGTGCATCTTCTCTTTCAATGTAGATCAGTACATCTACATTGAAAGAGAAGATGCACTTTTCCAAAATGACAATGATCCAAAACACACATATAGGGCCACTGTTGCATTTCTGAAGAAGAACAGGGTGAAAGTGATTCAGTGGCCAAGTATGTCTCCTGATCTGAACCAATCGAACACCTATGGGGAATTCCAAAGAGACAAGCTGAGCATCACTCTCCTTCCAGCATCCAGGCTCTAAAAGAGGTTGTTTTTGAAAAACGGAAAAAGAAAGATGTTGCAATATGTTGCCAACTTGTGGTCCCATGCCTAGAAGACTTGGTGCTGTCCTTACAAATCATGGAAGTCATACAATATACTAGATGGAGTAGTTTTTGTTGTGGGGTGTATTCATTTTTGCATCAACTAATTTGAGTAAAACTGAAGATTTTGTAATCTAAGTTATATTAGTAACCTGTCATGTAATGAGCTAAACAAATGTTCGATAAAACTCAGTTTTGTCAAAATTTTGGAAATTGTTCTTGTGTTCACCGAGATATTGATTAAAATCTTACTTTACAAAAAAGGGTGTACTCATTTATGCTGAGCACTGTACATATACCAATGCAGCCTCCATGTGTTACTCAGTCCTGATTAATATGCAAACATCTGTATAGGTAGTTTTATATATATATATATATATATATATATATATAAATAAAACTATAAAACAGTGATCTATAAACACTTTATTTCATTGTGACACTAACAATGAATTTATGAACACAAATAAAGTGACGCGGAAGCCGCACCCCCGCTGCCTATACATTACTGATTGATGCCTTTTGTAACCACAATACTTTTAGTAAAATGTGTTTTAAGAAATTACTTCACTATGAGGGTACCCCTTCTGTTGCTCCGCTTGGTTGCAGAACAGATATTGTGGACTTAAAGGGCCATACACCCGGCAGGTGGGGTGTCATTATAGATGATTGCCGCATCACTTCCGCTATCGGCACCTGGCTGCTTGGTAAAAGAATAAAAGAGGACTAGGGATATTTGTAATACATTTTTCTCTTTGATGCTGAAATCTTCTGGCTCTTGACTAGTTCTCATATTGAAGATTGGGACTGTGCTGTTTATAAACCAAATGTACATTCATATATACAGGTACTGAGGTATTGCTTACATATGCATTATGTCTTTTTTTTTTCTGCAAGTAGGTGAAGTCTATTTTTACACAGAACTTTCATGACTGCTATCTAGAGAGGACAAGAGAGCTGTGACATACGAATATAAGCAACGAAAAACTTACAACAGCTTCTATGCAAGGATACTGGTAGATGAGCTAGCAAGAGGAATTGCATGGGTCACTTTAAAAAATATCTTCACCAACAGTACTGTGTGTAATATAACCATTTGACTAAATGTATCACCACCTACAGCTCAGTCGCTGAAAAACTGTTTACAGTTAGGCCAGTGGCATTAGTTTGGGCTGAGATAGTTCTTATTTGACTAACTGACCAAACTACAATTCACTAAAACAAAAAGAAAAGAAAATCAGGGCACCTGGGATGGGTATGCTCTTTGAGATGATCTTTTAAGTATCTGTGTTAAGAAAGAAAAAATAAAATATAAAATCATAGATGTGAAAATAAAGTCAATGAAAATGTTAAAATGCTCTAGATGAATATAATAATGCACATTGTCCCTCTTGCAGAACATGGGTTTTGTTGGGAACGACAATGCTGCGGTTCTTAGTTTCACCAGTCAGAGAACTTTGGTGTTCTCACAATATAATATGGCAGAAGTTCTCTGTGATAGCGACTGTGTTCCTCCACATGGACTGAGGCCCGCCAAGTAATGAAGACAGAAGCAGAATTTATTTTTTATTATTATTATTTATTACATAGCTGAGGACCTTCTCCCCACCCACATGTGACACTCCGCCCCCATTGTGAGTAACCAATCGCCAACTATTAGCATTATCACACAGGAGAAAGGGGCACAAGTCACATGTTCTGCATCTGCCCAATGGTCAACTGGAGCATCAGGTGAGTGAACATAAAGCAGCTGGGATGGAAGGCAACTGAATGGCCTGCATGGGAAAAGCACAGGTTCAGTTTATAATCGCAGATCAAGTCTCTATCCTCTAGGTTGCTCTAATTAATTTAAAATCTTTATGACTTGGAACAGTGGGACTGTTGCTGCTTACAAATAAAGTAAAGTTTAGGAAGAAGGGGATCCTCTATGTTTCTGAATGAAATAGAGATCTCCATTGTTCTTGGATTGATGTGCTGATTTCACATTGTAGAAACACAAGGACAACAACAGGTTAAGTTTTAATTATACTATTCTTGGTCATAAGAACCTCAGTATACCTACAGTAATCAATATGGAGGAAGGAAAGAATAAAGAAGAGGAAAATGCTCAAACACAATATTTGAGAAACATGGCTTGTTACTCTCTAGGTTTCTAAAATGGACACTTCATAAAGAGATTTTTTTTAACATAACTGGGCTCAGAATCAGCTTCTTTTTTAACCATAGTTGCCCAAGGGGTAGTATAAAGGTACTCTCAATCTCTGTACAGAGTAAAAGACATTTGACATTCGTGGATTTTTTCTTTGTGGCCTTTTTCATCTCTGTGCCAGGGAAATGTAGTAGTAGTAAAACCGTAAATGATATAGTAATTCAATAATAATGTCATAGCAAAAGCCTAAAATATGGAAAATTAAGAATGGTTTGAACACGTGCATACACTACTGTTTGCACACTGTGCTTTTGTGAGCCACAAAAGTTAAGCAATTTAAAAATACCTTCTTTCCATATAATTCCCTGAAACATTTACTTGTTACTCCAAGAATGTTATCAAAACGTCCTATGCAAATAATAAAAATTATGAAATTCATGTTCACTGGTCCTTGAATGCAAAAATGGCAGTTTAAGTTTTTAGGTAATAAGAGATCACGACTAATTCTACCTCTCCCACACTAATCATAATTTACACAAACATCCACTACAATCTTATCTCAAATGCCTTCTTTTGGGACTCCCACTGTACATTATATGGGTTTGTGTGTGATGCTGTCGGCTGTGCTAGACAAAACAAGAATCAAAGTAGACATTACATGCAGGGTGTTGGCAGCTCAGCCAAGCTGCACCGTAATTCAGGCTCAGAAGTGACTTCATGTGCCCATGATTCACCTCCCTGAAAATTGGTTTTCTTTTAATCTTAGCAAAGACTCTCTGCTTATACTATTCCAAATGGAAATCTGAATGTTTTAATGTGTTTGCCAGCCTAAGGATATAAGGAGCACAATCCTCAGGACAAAACATAATTGAATCCCTTTGTGAACTGATTTATAAAATGATACAAAGTTTTAAAACAGAGCAAGCACAAATACCCAAGTCTGTCTTTATATCAGTTTTCTATATTAGCTTCCTGTAATCCCCTGTAGAGCGGCAATCAGACAGAAGAATTAGCCTTTAGTAAGAGACAGCCAGGTTGCACTGCGCTGCATAGTACCGTCAGTCTAATGTCCCGTACACACGATAACAAAATCGTCCGAAAAATTTAGCGGAACCACTGATCGAATGATTTTCACTTAGTTGATGAGCAGGATGTTTTAACCGATAACGATATTGTGTACGAAAAAATCCAGGTGAACAACAGTGAAAAATGTCGTTTTGAATACGAACGACCAATTTTCTATGAGGTGGTATGACTGTCGTACGAAAAAAATCTATCAAGCGCTATCATGCATGAGCAGAAACAGAAGATGACCCGGATGTTTATGTCCAAGGAATCGTCGTAAACACGAACTAAGAATCCAAATGTTAAAAGTAGATTGGCCTAATCAGATAATGAAACCAGAATTCTGCATATTATATTTTTATGTATCACTATTTATGTATATAGATAATGTAAAACTATATTATACTCGTTGTGTATATCGCTCGTTCTGGCCGGAAGGGTGTGGCTACAAGGTCACATGCACACTGCATCACTTCTAATTGTACGGAAGACGTCAACACTACATATTGCCCGAAGAACAATTTTTTTAGATTGGTTAATGAGGGCCACGATTTCGACCAACGAACGAACGCCTCTCGGTCGTCGAATGACCAATCGGTCGATTTTCTAAACGTGTATTCCCACCTTAACACTGGTACCTTGTTTACAAAAGAAGAGAGTACATTTATAATCTCAGTAGGTTGGTTATCAAGCTGTATTTATGGGTGTGTACCTGTATTTAGGTCAGCTCTCATTTGTGATCCGAATGTTGGTATAGTCAGAGTGTCTACACAGTTCTTGTGTTATCTTGAGTGCCCTGGGAGTCATGCCCCCTCCCAATTTTTGCAGCTTTCTATAAGTTCAAAGTGATGGGTGGCCACATTAACCAGACATCAACTTTCTCCAACTATCTGTATTTTACAGTTTTCCAGGTTTAGGGGCCCCCAAAAGGAACATAGAAGATAATGGAGGACAGTGCCATCTTAATAGCATCATGGGCCCCTGAGCAAAGTAAAGCACTGGGGCCTCTACCACGGAAAAGGTGACCCACAGCATGCTACGCAGAGTATGGCAAAAAGTATGCTACATATGGGCATGCCTTTTTAGTATGATGAGAAACAAATAAACACAACCAGGGAATTATCCCAAATTAAATTCACCCCTGTACACACTTTCCCAACCTCTCTACACACTACCATCCCTGTATACACTCGCCTTCTTTTTGGTGTATTATTTTTTTGCACAATTTTTTTCTACACAGACCCCTGGGGGTTTATTTACTAAAGCTGGAGAGTCCAAAATCAGACTCCCTTCTGCATAGAAACCAATCAGCTTCTTACCTCAGCTTGTTCAATGAAGCTTTGGCAATGAAACCTGGAAGCTGATTGGTTTCTATGCAGAAGTGAGTCTGATTTTGGACTCTCCAGCTTTAGTAAATAAACCCCCTGATGTCTCACTTTTGGGACAGAAAAAAGCAACTGGGGACATAAAATTCCCCAATCCCTTTCTCTGCAGCTTCAGCTGCACTGGAGATGAATGAACAGGAAGCTCTGATGCGGTTTACTATGCATCAGTTATGAATAAACAGTGAGTGATCGGTACCGATCACTTGCTCTGCTCATTAAAGAAGGGAATTGGACGTTGAGTAAGTAGCCAGGTTACTGGCTGCTGATGGGCAGAACTGTGTAAGTCACAGAACTAGCTGAATAGCATTACAAACGCATGAGCAGTAAGACAATTTACTTGTATTTATTTCAATTTTGTGTTAGCCATCTACTGTTCAGCTTTATTAAATGTTTGTGTCACCTTTGCAAACGATCATTTTACTAGTCACAGTTGGGTTCAGTAACTACATCTACTGGTGTATTTCCGATAATGCATAGAAAGTTAAAGGTGACTTTTTGTTTTTATTATACAATGCAATCTTACCTCTTCCCTCGCAGAAATGATGGAGGCCGGTGTATTTGGCACAGAGCTTAAAGAGGTACTGTGTCCTGTCCCGGAGGAGCTCTGGGAATCCCCATCTCCAGCTACTTCATGTATCTCTTTAGCCAAGCTGGCTACATCTTTTACCAGGGTTTGACTTAACCTATGATATATATCAGACCATCATTCAAAGGATTTTCCACTGATTGGACTATTACAATCTGATTTATCTCACAAATGTTCTTTGCTCATCTGTACCTTTGATAGCAAATAGATTCAGGTTTCAATTACCTCCTGAACAATTTTTTTGTACAATACATGTATGGCCTCTTACTCTGCTATAGAACGTATTTGCTATACTCTGATTCTTACTGTCAAAGTTTTGACCACAATGATCCAACACCAATGAAGTCAATGCAGTAGATTTCTTCAATACATTTTCCCAGTTTTATCAATTTAAAGTAGAATTCCTGGTTTACCTTCACTTTAGATAGTTTGTTGGGCCAAACTGGTTCAAATGAACTATTTCTATTACAGAATAATATGGCTGCTGTGCATCCTGTAATATACTGTAGTAGCATTAGCTACATAGAATAAGCAGAGCTATGCTCCGGTAACAATGCAGACAACTTCCTGTCTGCTGCTGGATACAAAGACTTGGGTGAGCACTCCTCTGCCATTCAGAAGAAATCTTGTATTTTTTTTTCAATGAATACAAGGCTCTCTCTGATTGGCAGAGGTGGGAATTGTGACATCATCCACCCACCTCTCCACCACAGCCAATCAGAGCAGGACTTGTATTTGCTGAAAAAATTACAAGGCTTCTCCTGAATGGTGGAGAAGCACTCAACCATTTCTCTTTCATTCTGGCAGTAAATGGAAAGTCACCCGTACTGCTGCCGAAACATAGCGCTGCATATGGTGTGTTGCTAGTGCACACAACGGCAGTGTCGTTCTGCAATGAAAACATTTCGTTTGGGCCAGTGTGGCCTGAAATAACAATTTAAAGTGAAATTTAACCTGGAATTCTACTTTATAGACACTGCAAGTACAGACAAATTCCTGCTGATCTGCCAGAAATGTTGTCTGCTCCAAAGTCCTAACAATAGGCACAGTGTTAGGGTTCACATACACTTTAAAAGAGACCCTATTGTCAATTAAAGAACAAAAAAAACTGCAAAAGAAGTGTCTTAATAATAATACTTACCTGTCCCGGGGGTACACTAGTGACATAGTGGCTGGAGCCATGGAGAGATGTATGCATGCGACAAAACAGAGAGTGTCATTTTCTGAACATTCTGCTTGCCCTGTAGCTTTGTAAGAGAGCTAAGAACAGTGGCACAGATAGGTATTAATACTCTTTTTTTTTTTTGCAGTGTTTTTTTACATTTTCTACCTTTTTATTCGGTAACAGGGTTACCCTAAAATTAGCATAATAGGTCAACCTGGGTCATGCTTTGGACCAATGACAATATTATAATTTCATCTGGTCCTACGAATTACTAGACATGCCATTGTTGTCTCACTAACAACGAACGAATATAATATATCCTAATATGTGGCACTGCGGAAAGAACTGCCTCATTAATACTCATTAATCTCCCCAAGCTTTGTACCTGTGCAGGTGCTTATATCTTGGCAGTAAGTCCCTGTTTGTGTCATTTATTTATCTTCCAGTTGTAGCACAATCATTTCTGTATTATATACAGGAAATGAAGGCCAAGATCTGTCACATTTGTTGGTACACATACTGCATATACCAAATCTTTTTGACTAAGCTCAAACATGGAGATAAAAAGATTGATTTTTTTAAAAAGACAAATAGGCTGTTTACATTGCAAGGGAAGTTGCAGTTTGCAAGGGAATGTGCCCCAGAGTTTATTGAATGAGGGGAGGACCTGCTGACTTCCATTGTCCAATCAAGTGCAAGCAGAATGCGTTTTTTTTTCCTAGAATATGATTGAGTATTCTTTTGCAAAGTGCAATTTTACCATATTTACTACATGCTGGGGTTAATTTGCTTGCAAAGTGCAAATTTCCTTGCAGAGCGAACATTTTTTAGTAAATCAAAATTTCCTTTAGTAAATCAACCCCACTGTTGATTTACTAAAGGCATGCATAGGGCATATGCAGAAATCAATATATTCAGTCTCAGATTACTATAACTGCAGTCTTACTTTTAAAAGGTTTATAGCTGATCTTTTATTTAGCTGATCCTGATATTTTAGCTTTTTAGAAGATGTCTAAGGTCACCTAAAGCCTTGCACTTGCTTCCATGTCAACCATGTGCACACAGAAAACTCAAAGGCTGGGGAACAGACAGGGATGTCAGGAAGTTGTCAGGGCAGTAACAAAGTGGCTGTCCCAGATAGAGCAAAAAAAAAAAACAAAAACAAAAAAAAACGAAATACAATAGCTGGGCAATTTAAACCTTTCATAAGTAAGGCTGCACAGTTATTCTAATTTAAAGTTGAACTCCAGAAAGGTAATAAACACCAATGAAAACAATTAAGTAATTATTAAAGAAAATAAATGAAGTTTTAAATGCAATTAGTACAAAATCTAAATGTAACTCGATTTCCATTTCATAATACACTGTACAGCAGCTCTGAGACTGGGAGAGGGAGGAACATAATAGGGCCATTCAGGTTCCTATACATGAGCATGTACTGACATAACTGTATTGCCTAACTGCAGCAGAGAAAAGTCAGGTCACCAAGTTGGCTGTACAGTCTGACAGGGCTGTGTGAATCACAGGACTGTATGGACAGAAACACACAGGCAAGTAAAACATCTCCCTTAGATGTGTTTTGTTGGTAAGTGTTTGCCTAGATTTTAGATTCATGACTGCAGATTCAAACATAAGTCCAAACATGACTAGTTTACTTTAAAGTGGAACTAAACTCACTTTATCAACTTTTTTTTCTTTTAACCCTCCCGTTCTGTCTTAAGCAAATTGTTAAAAAAAAATTAACATTTTTAGAATTTTGTGGGTTTTTTTTTTGTACTGCAAGACTGTACTTTCTGGTTTCTGGCCTAGGCTGGGCACCACTGCCCTCTGGGATTGCTACATCACAGCTATCCCAGGAGGCAGTGTGTTGCAACTGTGCAGTGCTTTTTATGTGTACAGAAACGCCGCCAGGGAGTATAGCGGCAATATGCCAGAGACTGGCAGGGTTTGTGCGCACGTGCCGAAGTCTGCCATGCAAGTGCATATGCTCCTAAGTAACTAGAGGATGCTGGTGTCACATATGTGCACACGCCAGAGCACAGAAGAGGGGTAACAGCTATTAATGCCTGCCCAAAACATGGTACTTTAAAGTAGTTCTAAAGGCTCAAGGTTTTTTACCTTCATGCATTCTATGCATGAAGGTAAAAAACCTTCTTTGTGCAGCAGCCCCTTCCCAGTCCACCTAATAATCACCTCAGTCCCCTCCCGATCCAGCGATGTGCACTGGATTCTCCGCTATCACAGGACTCCCTCTCATTGGCAGAGACACAAGTGGGAGTAAATCACAGCCAGTGAGCCAATAAAAAGAGGGAGGGGGAGCTGTGGATCTGTGTGTGAAAGGACACACAGAGCAGCGGGTGCCCCCTTGGCAAGCTGCTTGCTGCAGGGGCACCCGACAGGAGGGAGGGGCCAGGAGTGCTGGCGGGGAACCCGAGAACAGGAGGATTTGGGCTGCTCTGTGCAAAATCACTGCACACATCAGGTAAGTATAGACATGTTTTTTTTTTTTTTTAAAGAAAAAATAACAAAGTCATTAGAATCACTTTAACAAAAATCTAGCTAAAAAGAGCAAAAGCAAATGTGGTTTTCAAGTAACATATTGCTCTAAAGTAAAATAAATCTATTCTGTTGGTTGTAGTGTTTACTCCCCTCTTAAATGGCCTTTGACCCCGTGCTTTTTATTTCACCATTGTGGAACAAACATTACCTACAGATATTTGATTTTAGGATGTTTTTTCACAAACTGTTGGCCAAAAAATGTAAGTCCCTTTATGAACCTTTTCAGGTACGAAACGATAATCCTATTAACAATACAACACTCCACCTAACACACACATCCCCCTGCCCCAGAAATATTCAGACCTAAATAAGCAGAAGGTTACTGTGGCTTCAAGCACTCACCTGGCTATTTCTGCAATTTCAACAGATTGTGCCATGAAGTTGTTGTACACCTCCTGGTCATCATCATCATCATCCTGAAGCCGGTTGTGCCTTTGACTTTGAGAAACGCTGGTAGTGGCCCGGGGGGTCTGAGTGGCTGTTGAAGCATGGGATCGTTTGTGTTTAGGGGTGCTGTGATTAGAGCCATATTCCTCCTCAGATGTAGACAAATAATCTGAACCCTGCTGCCTCCGTCTTGATGCTTACAATGAATTGGTTTTAAAGAGAGAAAGTTAAAAGATCAATCCTCTCCTAGCCACCAGTGGGAGAGAAAGGAACGGTTTACATTGAGAGAGCCAACATACAAGTTGCTTGTAACAAAAAAAAATGCTATCCAAATGGAAAAGGGTTTAATCCCCTGCTGCAGTCTGTAGATTTATGCTGTCATGCACGAAGCCGTGCTGACTTTATGTTAATCTATGCCCACTAACCATCACTAGTCATGCAGAATCGTACACAATTATGGGATCCCTTTGTCTGCTACAACATAGTTATTATATTCAGGCTGGAGGCTTCATTCACAAAATGAGTTTAATAGTGTAACTGTCAAATACAATTACAGTATTCCTTTCCTTTGTTTTTTCTTTACATTATTGCACAACCAGCCCATTCATAAAAAAAACCAAAAAAACAGTGCAGGTCTTTAAAAAAAACCTCTATTAAATAAAACCCTTATATGTCCATAGAAAACATGTTAAAATAAAATTATTCAGTAAAATCAGAAAGGGTTTGAACCTCTGTCAAGTTATTTAGTTACTGTCCATCTTCCTGTCCAATGACCATCATCCCCCTCATACAGTATCTCGTCTTGTTGTCAAAGAAGCAGGAAGTAAGGTGCAACCACTCTACAAAAAAAAACTGGAGTGAAAGGATATGAGCATCAAGCCATAGAGATTGATCAAAATATGTATTTTTATACTGTAGTCACAATAATGGTTTACAGCTCACTTAGTAGGATTGTCTGTCAGCCCACTGTACTGAGCCAGATGTAAACTAGTTTATGAAAAATTGAACTCTAGGATTCACTACCTGTCCAGATTACTCTTGCAAAATAAATAATTCACTGGCTGTCAATCTTTTCATAGACCCTTCTGTTGTTGCAAATAAAAATGAATGAAAGAACAAACACAGGGTGCATCAGCTTAGAGCATTACCTTTATATACCATTTATTGAATAAATAAAAGCAAATATTATACTCACAAACAAATGCCCACCAATATTTTCCAGAACCAGAAACACCAGATCTACTGCACATACTCTTCATCATGGGAGAAGCCATTCAGGTCTACTAAGGCTGACCCATTTCAAGGGGAGTCCCCTCTTCCTCAGATATCTGATGAAGAGGGGAATTCCCTTGCAATGGGCCAGCCTCAGTAGACCTGGGTGGCTTTTTCCCATGATGAAGAGTATATGCAGTAGATCTGGTATTCCTGGTTCTGAAAATATTGATGGGCTTGTGAACACATTTGTTTGCGAGTATAATATTTGTTCTTACTCCATTAATAAATGGTATATAAAGAAAGGTAATGTGCTAGGTCGGTGCGCCCTCTCTTTGTTCTTTCAGTGCTGTATGTATCGGGGCTTCCCTAGTCCTATGAGGGCAGCAAAGCTAATTTTATACTTCCAAAGTGGAAAAGTGAGAGTCAATTTCTAAGCACCATACTTGAGTGCAGGAGGTTGTTCTAACTGCCAAATAAAAACGAATACTGGACCAATCCTTATGGCCTGGCGCGGTCATCTTTTTATTTATACAAATTGGCCCTCTCAGGGACCCAACTGGGGATCCACCATGCAGTAAAGAGTTGCTACACTATAGCAATCATCTGATTTATTTGTAAGTGAATTTAATTTGATTTTATTAATCCACTAAGCTTGGAGTGTAGTGCTGCAACATCCCAATTTATTGAGTACTAAAAAATTTGACAGGTATTTTCCCTCCCCAAATCTGTGGCTGCACAAATGTGGCTGCAGTCAGGCTTTTAAATGCTTTCACAACCCACAACTCTATAGCTGGCCTTACACATACAGATTTTTTTTTCTGTTCAGCTTACATATTCTTCTAGCCACACATCACAGTGCTGATGGCTGAATCTACCACTGCAGCTTTTGTATTATACGGCTATTAAAATATCCAAACATCATTCAGCCAACAATTTTCCGCCTGGCTTCAATTAAGGGCTATCAGGTGGGAGGCAGAACAGGACCACCCTCTGATCAAATTTTGGCCGGTTCATCAGGAAGTGGCCTAAATTTGAACAGTGTATGGCAAGCTTTGGATGTTTCATAAGAATTTAGTGTCATAGCAAGTAGAATAGTTTTTTTTTTCAGGTCCCCAAAAATATTTTTGGATTTATCTTTCATTTGCAATACAATTCAGTTGGCTTTGACACAAAATAAACTCAAAGCATGAGTTAAAAAAAAAAAAAAAAAAAATACTGGTAAGCCATTTTCTTTCTAATCTGCAGAGAGACACATAGATCCAGAATCCAATTGTGATTCATGAGTTGTAGGATTCTCAGTCCAGTGCACAAATTTGCATGCAGATATTTAAGCTAATAAAGCTTTCAATTCGATGATTCGGGACAGCGAGACATTTCCTGATCAACATTTGACTTCCTGTCAATAATTCCACTGGAGGGCAGTGTAGACTGTACTTTACTGCTCAACAACTTTGACTACAAAACTTTAAGAATATTTGTATATCTGATTTATTTTCTTCCATAGGGCATGTATTTTTAGTTTACTAGGATTTGTGTGTGAAAACGGCAAGTTCCCACAATAAAAAAAATGACCAAAAATCAGCAACTTGTATGTTCGCTCTCATACTACAGGTGGAAAATATGTATATATTTTAAGGAGCATCCAGGAAAATGGAAATCTTTCCTTCTGACTCTTCTGAAAAGCATAAACATCTATCCAACTTCCACAGGATTTGATGACCACTCCGCGATGGACATCAGTAGTGTGCGGCAGACTTCCCCAGCTGACTGGTCTCAAAGGAAACAAGGAACAGCTGCCTTGGATAATTGAATCTAATGGCTAATGTTTTCCTCTAGACATGCCAGGTGCCCAGGCCTGCATTTTCCAGCTGGCCCCACAAATATAAACACGCATACTTGGGCAATCTAAAGGCTACATGAACAATTAAAATTTTCTACTGCTGAGAGATTTCCCGTTTGATGGCAGTCATCTGAATAGGCTAGAACTACACAGAAGGTTTCTAGTAGCGCTATCCTGCTACTAAAATCACTAGCAGTAGCATCTTGTAGCGATACAATCACACATGACTGGAGCACTGTGCGATCAATTGAGATTGATTGGTAATATACGTTAAGCTGGCAACACATGGATCGCAATTTGGCCAGTGCAGCAGGGACCAGCTGAGATTCGATCCATGCATGCGCAAGTGGATTGTACCCAAGTCGATCCATCAATTGACTTGGGTACAACCAGCCTGGTTGAGATTTTTTTCTACATTTGACTACTGCATGCGGCCATAGTCACTAGCAGTAATCATTGTGTTCTGCCATACGGGAAGACGCCCCCATCATCATCAGAACACAATAGCATTGCAGGAGGCACTACCCCATCATCACTGACTGTGTTGATGGGGAAATCGAGTGATTTTCTTTTCTTCCATTACGGGTAGCTTTCTATATAGGAAACCATGTGTTCCATTTCTTTAGCAATCATTTGCTCCACCTAGTAATAAATCATTCGAAATTTTAGTAGCAGGACTGAGTTAATAAAAATTTCCTATGTAGCTCTAGCCTATTCAAGTGACTTCCAGCAAATGTTGAAATCTTTTAAGCCAGCCATAAATGACTGAACCAGCTGAGATTCAAACCATCCATGGGCAGGCTGATTGTAGCACAGTCGATTGTTGTACGACTTGGGTACAACCAACATGTCAGATTTTACATACGATTATTGCGAGAGGCTTTTATAGCCGCTAGCAGTAATCATTCACTGTTCTCTTGGCGGGGATGACTCAAAGTCAGGAGAACACAATAGCTCCACAGGAGGAATCAGTGTTGATGGAGGAATCAAGCATTTTTCTTTCCTGCAACCTCTGGTTTCAAGAAAGAAAATTGCATCATGTATGGCCTGCACTAGTACCACCCATGTAGCTTAGCCCTCAAGCTAGTCATGCATGTATAGATTGCTCTCACTCAGCCTACAGGCTGAACAATAGAAATCTACCAAATTCCTCCATCCAAGCTAAACAGTGACAATAGGGGAATCTTCCCTGCTGGCTATTGTATTCTGACATTTGACATCTGCAGCCTTCAGAATACCCAGACAGTGACTTCCTCAGATTGGATGCAGTCACTGTTCAGCCAACAATTTTTCACTCGGCGCCTTCAACAAAAGTTGATTGAAAAACCAACTTTTGACGAGCTAGGTGGGGTGTTGGCAGAATACCTTCAGCTAAAATTTTGCCTGATTTAGATTTAAGGGTGTACAATGAATTCTGATGTATTGCTGTCAATGGGTAGATGTGAGAAATTTTAGAGTCAAAAGTAAAACGCTCCATTGTCCTGAAAACCCCTAGAAACGCTTAGGAAAGAAACATGTGATTATCAGTTAGGCTAGATTTAGAACACTTGACTGGCAAACTGACTACAGATTAAAAATAATTAATCTAGAGAATATATATATATATATATATATATATATATATATATATATATATATATATATATATATATATATATATATATAGTATTAATAGCCATTCAAAGTTTGCTAAATCTAGCCCTTAGAGTGAATGAAAACATTATCCAGGATTTCATTGAGATGGTTCACAGTCCATATAATTGGTTCTTTTGTTGTGCAAAGGCAGCCTATAGAATTTCAAAAGTGTCCAATACCAGAATAAAAAAAAACCTCCCTTAAGAATCTGGTTATAATGGAAGTTTATAGATGATAATAGAAGGTGAAATGATGGCAGTTATGATGAGATTTTTAGTTCTGTAATATTGGTGGCAGCTAAAGCTTTGCAAAACCTACCAAAGAACAATCTCCAAATAAGAGAGAAGGGGAACTTTTTATTTTTTTTTACGCAACAAAAGAAACATATATAGTTCTGTAGAAGAAGCTATGTAATAGTGTGGTGAAACTACAAATAACATCAACATAAAAACATACTGAACATTACTATCATTTTTAACCGTATGCAGGTGTAGAGAATACCAGAA